GCCCACATTAACAGAGACGAGGGAGGAGTGGGCCTCTGTGATTCCAGTCGGTTCTCTGCTCCCCTGGCCAGGGAGTGTACCTTGAGCAAGGCCCCTGCTTCCAGAGTCAGCACTCATACTCGCAAGCATTCCTGCCTTTAAATGTGAAGCTTTCCTCTGCAGGTGAAATGCTATCCAGGATGCACACTTGCCTTTTCTAGATAGCATAGGAATCACCTTTCCATTTGAGGCCTTAACCAGAGAAAGCTCAAAGCACGGCCCCCGGCTTGCTTCCCTCAGCGCTCTGTGGACCGAGGTTTCCTGGTCTCGGCCAGGAAACACCAGATGGGAGCCCAAAAAAGCAGGTCCCATGACTACTGTCTGCTGTGAGCCCACTGAACAAGGACTGAGAAATTTTCTATACATTTCTGTACAATTCTATACTATAGAAATGAGGGATCTATACAGATCAGCGGCTTCCAAGCCAGCTAAGTTTTAGAAAATACTAAATTAGGGGGCGCCTGGGTGGCTCAGTTGGTTAAGCGTCTGCCTTTAGCTCAAGTTATGATCTCAGGGTCCTGGGATTGAGTCCTGCGTCAGGCGCCCTGCTCAGTGGGGAGCCTGCTTCTCCCTCTGCCTCTGCCACTCCCCCTGCTTGTGCTCTCTCTCTCTCTGACAAATAAATAAAATCTTAAAAAAAAAAGTGTGGATTACTTAAATCTGATAGTAATAAAAACAGTTACACATGTTTGAAAATCAAGATAACCTTAAAAACCAAGCTGTGTTTTAATACATTTTCATTTATTTTACAATTTAATTTAAATCTAGAATACTTAACGTTTCATACAAACTTAATTTTAAAAATAGTCGCTTGCTATTTTACATACAAAAGATTCAAAATTCTTCACCTGGAGCAACTGAACTCCATGCTCCAGCCCGGTGCTCAGGGCAGCACAGAGGGGAGCTGACGGGCAGCAGTGGCCTCGGGAGCCCAAAACACCCCCCAGTCCTGCAGCACCCCCTCCTCCAGGCATGGGCCCTTCACTGAGGGTTGGTTTTTTCCCCCAAAACGACTTCTCCTAGATTTATTTCTAAGGGTTGAAAACCACCTTAGGACTGACAGTTCTTTTAGAAAGAGTGAAACACAAAGGACTGTATTCTCAGAACTTGAGAAGTGGAGAATCCATGTTTTCCTTGTCAGCCTCGGGACTCAGCTGGATCAGAGGAGAAGCCAAGTCTATCAGCTGCAAGAGAGAAGCGACAGGAGGTGAGTGGCGTGGCCACGTTGCCCCTCGCAGCCCGTCGGCTCCCTGAAGACCCGGCTGCCCTTGAGTCCTCTGGGCCACGGCTCAGTACCACCCACCGCTCGGGCACAGGGACCCTGCAGCCGTCCCGTCTAAGAGGTTGGATGGAGGAAGTGCCACACGAAAGAAGTCGGAGTTCCCTCGTCACACAACAGGCACTGGGGGACCCTGGAGTGGCGGCGATGTGACAGCCACCCTCAGAGAGCCCTGGGCTTCCCAGGCAGGATCCCACAGCAGGACTTGGTGAATTCCAAGCTCATGCTACCAATGGAGTGTGCCCTGAGCCGTGTCACTTTGGAAACCTCCCTGGCCACTCTCGAGGGTCACCGTGAGGCACCCTGGGATGAGGAACAAACCCAGAACGGAGCCCACCCGAGACGAGGCCTCCACGGAGCTTCCTGCTGCTCCTCACCTGTCCCACCTCCTGGGGAGGCTTGGACGCAGTGTTTCTGATCATGTCTGGAGTGTTTATCAGCAGGTCGATCAGAGGTCTACTCTCAGATCCCAGAGCCACGTGTGCTTCTGGACTATTGCAAAAGTCAATGAGAGGGATGTCGATGAGGGCTGTGCTTTCAGCTTTTGGAGTGATGGCCAGTTGGTCCAGTTTGATATCCACGAGAATAGCCTAGACAAGAACACAAGACTTAAAAGCAGTTCTAGCATCTTTTTGTCAACCACGCTGAGGAAACCTAGGAAACCCAGGGAAGGATGGGCCTTAGCGGGGAGCTGGCCGTGTGCCCGTCCTGAGGTCTCTCCTCTCTGGCCGCCTCCACACAGCCCCAGCCCATCCACCGTCCTCCGGCCCGCAGCCCACACGGGAGCTCCCGCCGACGCTCCCACTGCTGCCCTGCTTCCTACTTCCCGTCCTCTGAGCCCTGGCCCTCTCTGGTCAGACACAGGGGAGGGGTGTGGCTTCTGTGCCTGCTGGAGGCTGGAGGTGCTCACCCCCCCCCACCCAGCACGGCTGGCCCCAGAGGCCCCGAGCACGATGGACCAAGTCCTGGAGAGTGACTCTGGGGAATGCCGTGCTGAGTCGGCCCGTGGCGGGGGCAGGCTCCGCTCGTCCAGGGTAACACACGTACCTCACCAGTGGGTGTGTCTCCAGGTGGCTGGGCTGCATCCAGCACGACTTCCGTGCTGATACTTTCTGAAAGAGTCAAGCCAGTCTTTCCTGGAGAAAAGTTAAGTGCCTGTGGTACAGCTGACGGAGGGGAAAGGGACCCATCGGGAGACGAGTCCTTGCGCCTAGAGGTAGCCTTGCTGTCGGTGTCCCTCGTTGGTGCAGCTCTACCAGACAGAAAAATGGGAAATCTGAGGAGGGGACTCCTGTCCGTCTTAGCTTGTTGGGCTAGGATTCTAGTTTTGGAGGAGGCGTGAAGTGCAGCATTCCAGCCCCATCTGTGACAGCTCTGACTGACAGCGACCGCAGGACTCTCCCAGGGACCCGGTCGCAAAGACCACACCAGACCCCAGAGCTCTGGATGTGAGCGCACCTTACAGAGCCCTCTGTCCAAAGGGCTCCTCCCAGTGAGAGGCCGTGGCCCACAGAGACACGGGATTGGGGCAGACGCTCTCCCACCCTGCCCAGCTCAGCAGCCCACCTGGGATAGGACACTCAGTGGGGACTATGATGGCGGATCAACCAAGTGCCCTCCCTCGCTTCAGAGGGCCACTGAGAGACTCCTGTGGCCGTTGCTGAGCAGACGCGATGAACCTCGGCTGGGCTGGTTCCCAACAAGTGACTCACCCACCAGACCAGGCAGGCTTTCCAGTGTAAGAATCACCTGGGGTCTTGGGAATCTGAGACAAACTTACTGCAGCCTCTACCTCTCACCTCACTGAAGACTTTTTCTGCGGCTCAGAAGAAAGCCGCCGAGCAGGCGCACACAGAGGCGAAGCCAGAGCTCTGGGCACGGTTTTAGGGGTCATGGATGGAAGGCCGGAGAGCCGACGGCTGGCAGGTGTGGGCAGGGCTGACACGTGCTTCGTACTCGTGGGGGTCCTTGTACTGCTTACAAGGCTCTGCGGGGCTGCCACCGATGAGCGTCTAGCAGGAGTGCTCTGGACAACAACCCTGGAGAAACAAAATTGGAGTCTTCAGCAGACATGACTAAAAAAAAAAAAAAAAAAAAAAATCCATTCAGCCAATATGCTAATGAAGTAAAAAGTCCTGTGATTTCAACATAAAAGATAAAAGATTTAAGCCGGCCAAGCCTGTTGGAGGTCTGCTCTGGGAAGGAAGGGCTGCCCCAGCCCCCTGGGAGGCCCTGGTGCGTGCGGGCTTCTGGTTCCTCAACGAGGGGCCTCTCTACACTACCAAACGTGATGGCACCTTCCAGGTGGTGCCGTGCAAATGCACTGCGTGGGATGTTCAGAGGACATCTAAAAGTCACCTGCTGATGGGGTAGGTATTTGCAGAAGGAAATGCAGACCCACACTGGGGCCTAGCCCGGGCTCACGGGCCTGTCCAATCATTCCCAGTGGTAAGAGCACCCAAATCACACGTGAGCACACACGAATAAATCAGGGCAGCTGCTGCTGATTTCTCACACCTCCGTCCTTCCAACCTTGGCAATACACGTGGCTCTGATGGCCAGTGAATCCTGCGCATCTCTGTGGAGCCAGCTGCTATTTTAAAATAAACAAGCCGGGGCTGTCCCAACGTGCAGCCCACAGGAGGGCTGCGGGTGACACACCACCCATCAAGGACAATCTTTACGTGCTTCAGAAAGAGTCTGAAAACAAACTTTAATTAACATTAACTGGAAAACTGAATCACTCCAGGGGCACTGGCAAGAGGGTGGGGTGCTCTCAAGCCAAGCAGCCACTCTCTGCAGTTCTGGAACCACTGCCTTACTCCCTTTACTGCTGAACTCCAGTGAGAACAGATAAAAATGCAAACAAATGTAATCTTCAGAGTAACCCTGGGAGGCAGGAACTACTGTCCTGTTGCACAGGTGGAGGACCGAGCGACAGGGCTAAAGTGAGGCAGGCCGCGGCCATCTGGCTATGGGTGTGAAGGGAAAGACTCACAGCATGGCTAATGCTGTAAGGGGAGGCATCCGCCCAACCCATGAAGCACCTCCCAAGTTCACACTCAAGTAAATGAAAGTCCAGGGTCAAGGAAAGACTCGCAGATGGCGCAGGCTGGCCTGTGGCAGGGCCAGGATTAGGGCCCCCGCTCAGGTGTCTGAGTCATCGCTTGTCTTACCACCTATCCCACCCACGTGCAAAGCAGCATTCCCATCCTGGCTGCACGCAGGCCCTGGAAACGCTGCTCCCCTGGGTGAGCGTCCTCACTTCCGCTTCTGCTCGCAGTGGATGTGCGCAGAGTGGAGCAGTGCTGGGACAGGGTCCTGCCCTGGGACAGAGTGCCCACAGCCGTGCTGGGGCCAGGCCGTCAGAAAGGGCCCTCTGACCCCAGCAGATGGCAGTAAAGGGTGGCAGGGAGAGGACGGTCACCGGCCTGGGCCCCTCACGCGCGTGCGTGTGTGTTCTTACTGTTTGCAGTATCTGCTGTGCTGTGTGCGCCCCGTCCCCACTGCACAGCTGAGGAAACGAGGTCAGGACTGTCCAGGAACTTGCACTGGGTCACAGACCAGGGACAGTGGAGCCGGGATTCAAAACCAAGTCTGACTAACGACACCACACCGAGGGTTTGCACCCATGGCACAGATGAGAGCCCCCTTTTACAACAGTGGGGGTGGACGTTTCTGCCACCAGGTCAGGCCTGAGAGTCGGCACGTTACACCGCAGATGGCAAGTCTGCGACTGTTGCGAGGTGGATGGAAGTGTCACTTGTCCTCGGGAGCCCAGGCCACACCCTGACAGACCAGGGCTCAGGCCAGTGGGGCCAGGCTGTGGGGTACCCCACGCATGCTTGAGAAAGCTCGGAGAGACGAGCAGGTTCCTTCTCAGAGTGATGTAAAATCAAAGGACGCGGTGACTCCTCACCTCCCCACCGACGTGCAGGACTGCGGTCTCTGGGCCCGGCAGGACATCGGCGTCGCGCTGTCCGGGGGCTCACCTGGGGCAGGAGAGGAAGCGTGTGCAGTCAGTCACATGTGGGGCAAGTGATAAACCCACCGTCTGGGGCTCTTCACCAGGGGCGACTCTCCTCAAACACTGAAGGCTCCGCTGCAGGGCCCTGTTCATGTGGTCCCCGTGTCCCCTCAACAACGACAGCTGGTGTCACGACCACCACGCCCGTTCCAGAGGGAGCACGCAGAGCGGGGTGTTCTGAGCAGCGTGGTGGCTCCCCGCAGCCTCGCCAGCCCTGACTTCATGGGAACAGTCTGATGCGGGGCCGATGAGAAAGGTGCTCGCGAGACAGCCCTGCCCCTGACGCTGCGAGGAAAGGAGAGCCCGATTCCGGGGGAGCTGGAGGTGCCACTGAGGGCAGGAACGGGCGGCAGAGGGTGGCAGTGGGACTGGCACAGGACAAGACCGGCGACAGATGGAGCCGGAGGAAAGGCAGCCATGGCTTTGGGCAGCCGGTAAGAAAGGAAGCAAGCGCTGCTGAACGCAGTCCGCGCCCTGTGCCGTGGGGCGCCCTGGAGAAGCCGCTTCTGCAAAGACACTGAGCTCTCTGCTGGAATCCTCATTCTATCTCCAGGTGTGGCTTCTCCCTTGGGATCCAAACTCATAAATTCAACCGCCTGCTCAGCACAGCCCCACCGGAGCCCTGTGGCATCTCCAACTCAACTGGTGCAAACTGGGCCCGTGGGCTCCGCCCCAGGGCTGCTCTTCCTTGAGCCCTCCCCGATGGCGGGAGGCAGCACCCGGGTGGCCTGCGGAGGCCCCTCTCCACGCTGCCGCCTGCTCTCCCACCACCACGATCTCTAGTCCACATCACGGCAGGGCTTCTGCACGGCTCTCCCTGCTTCCATTCTTGACCACGAGGGCCTGCTCGTCCCTCAGGGGAGGCAGCTGTCGAGGGCCTAAAGCCCTGTCCCATGGTGCCCCCTGCACGGAGAGTTACTCCGAACCATTCCTCAGTCACGGGGCGCTACGCGAGCCGGCAGCACCTCACCTCTCACCTCGTTCGCTAACTTGGCTGAGGTTGCTGGTATTTGTTCAATAGCCACTCTCCTCTTCTCAGTAAGAGACGGTAGTGAGGCGGGAAGACAACATGTCTCTGCATCCCTGGCAGGCGAGCGCAGTCACATGCCTGAGGCCTGAGCGATGGGACGGAGATGGAAGCGGCACATGCAGCTTCCGGGAAGCACCCTGCTCCTCCTCACCGACCCCGCCTTCGCTGCTGACGGTGGGAAGGCTGGAGCGGGGGCAGCCATACTAGAGCACGAGGAAGAGAGGCTAAGAACAAGGCAGAGGAGGCTTCGGGGCAGTAAAGGCCACCTGCACCGGCCGGCGGTGCTGGAAACTTCCAACAGCTGCCTGGGAAGCACATCCACTCAGGAAAGGCTACAACTACCCTCTCCCTTGAGTCAGCTCTGTGCAACGTTCCACATTATACACACTTCTGAGATTAATTTACCTCGACCAAACATCCACCTGCTACCTGCCAGACACCAGGCTGGTGCAGACGAGGAGAGGCCACACCAGCCCGGCAGCCTTACTGATCAGAGGAGGCTGGGGGGCGAGCATTTGGGGGGCAGACCTAGACAGGTGGGAGCTACTGAGGAAGAGCTCTAGAAATGGGGAGGGAGCCCGAGTCCCTGGCTGCGCAGGAAATAGCAGCATGCATGCAGCGTGAGACTCTGAAAGGCCATGGCAAAGACAGCCACCGGGGGCAACTGCCACCGCTCACACAGGGCTGGGGGACTGCCACGTCCTTTTGGCCAGGGCGGAAACCTCGGGAGCACACAGCACGTTTGGCAGGGACTCAGACAGGCCACGTGTTCGTAGCAGGGCTGCCCGGTCCCCAGGGTAAACGGCTACTTAAGACCTGCCCCATCAAAGCTTATAAAGAATCCTCTGAAGGATCAAGTTGACCCACAATTTAAATGCCTTCCAGGGCAAGATTCAGCTCCTTAAAGCAGGATAACAAAACCCAGATATTCAAAAATTCTGAACTTACACCATCTAAGAGATGATCAACAATTATTAAACATGGGAAGAAGCAGGAAAATGTGACCATCACCAGAAAAAAACTTAGTGGCTAGAAATGGACCCCAAAGTGACAGGGAAGATGGCATTAGAAGAAACAGTTTAAAACAACCATCATAAATATGTTCAAGAATTTAAACAAACACAATGGGGTGCCTGGGTGGCTCAGTCGTTAAGCGTCTCCCTTCGGCTCAGGTCATGATCCCAGGGTCCTGGGATCGAGCCCCGCACCGGGCTCCCTGTTCTGCTGGAGGCCGGCTTCTCCCTCTCCCACTCCCCCTGCTTGTGTTCCCTCTCTCGCTGTCTTTCCCTCTGTCAAATAAATAAAATAAAATCTTAAAAAAAAAAAAGAATTTAAACAAACACTGTTAGGACAAAGATGAGGAAATTATAATATCAGAAACAAAAAATTAACTGGATGGGCTTAATCGCAGATTAGACACACTGCTGAGAAAGATGTGAATGCGAAGACATGATCTTGAAACGTCCCAACTGAAACACAAGAACAGGTGGGGAAACCCAGGGCCTCCGTGACCTACAGACCACATCGAGAGGTCTGTAATACTTGTAATTAGAGTCCCAGGAAATGAAGGGAAGCAAGAAAAAGAATCTGAAGAAAGAACAGCAAAGTTTTTTTCCCAGAGTTAATACAAATATCAATCCATAGATCAAAGCAGCTCAAGAATTCCCAAGAAGGATGAACCCAAAGAAAGCCACCTCGAAATTCATAATAATCAAAATGCTGAAACGAATAAGAAAGAGGAATTTCCGAGAGCAGCGCAGGAGCAGTGATGGGACAAAGGGGAGTGACTGTGAGACAAGAATGCCACCAAGTTCTCATCTGAAATGGTGCAAGCTAGAAGATGCTAGAACAACGCATTTAAAGTGCTTTAAGAAAAAAGAAAGCTGGGGCGCCTGGGTGGCTCAGTTGGTTAGGTAACTGCCTTTGGCTCAGGTCATGATCCCGGAGTCCTGGGGTCGAGTCCCACATTGGGCTCCCCTTGCTCTGTGGGGAGCCTGCTTCTCCCTCTGCCTCTGCCTGCTACTCCCCCTGCTTGTGCTCTCTCTCTCTCTCTCTGTGTGTCAAATAAATAAAATCTTTAAAAAAAGAAAAAAAGGAAAAAGAAAGCTGGGTGCCTGGGTGGCTCAGTTGGGTTAGGTGACTGCCATGGTCATGATCCTGGAGTCTCTGCTCAGCAGGGAGTCTTCTCCCTCTGACCCTCCCCCACTCATGCTCGCTCTCTCTCTCATTCTTTCTCAAATAAAGTCTTCAGAAAAAAAAGAAAAAAGAAAGCCAAAAACATTATATAGAATCTGTTCAATATTTTAAAACCATGAAAAATGACCCACTCCTTACCAGTAGCAAATTTGGGGATCTTAAATTGACTTGTAGGGGTGGGCACAGCCTGTGTCCTGCAGAGTAGGTAGGAGTCACGCCTTCTCATACTCCCAGCTGTATTCAACTGAGAGGGCTGGGACCAGGTGGAGCCGGAGCTCGGCCCCGGGCCTCCCTGTTCCGGTGTCCGGGCTTGGACGAGAGCTCCTGGGGTGGGCGCCTTGGCAGCCTCCGCCTTCACCTCAGCCACCGCGGCCCACTTGCTCTGCTTGCAGGGGGCACCCGAAGGACCTGCCTGCGGAGGCAGGGAACTGCCCGCGGGAACACTTGCAGGTTCACTGGATCTAGCTGGAAGAGAAGACACAAAATCTGGCTATCACTCAAGCTGATGTCATTTTTAAATTATGAAGTTACTTAGCAAACACTTAAAAAGTTTTCAAGTGAGGAAAATTATTTATTTCGATCATGATGATTTGCATATGATGAAACAGGACCTGTGAGCAACATTCTGTCCGCCCGTCAGGTCATGTCCTCAAACACAGGACAAGCTTGGTTGCTCATGGCTCAGCTGAGTGTGTTCTACGGTACGAATTCTAGACACATTACCAAGATGTATGTAAATATATGTAAATTCAAGCTCTCCCGTCTTCCCTGATTTGTCAACAGCAGACATCTGCCCTGGCTGAGCAGCCAGGAATGGACAGTGTAGTCACACGCCCCACCCCTCTAGTCAGGGAGGTGGGGAGGGGACAGGGAGAGAAGGCGCAGTCAACCGGGTTGGTTCCTTCAAATCCCAAGGAGGCTGGGTCATAGCAATCACAGGCACTATTTAAAACAGAAAGAAGGGGCGCCTGGGTGGCTCAGTCGGTTAAGCGTCTGCCTTCAGCTCAGGTCATGATCCCGGGGTCCTGGGATCGAGCCCCGCGTCGGGCTCCCTGCTCAGGCAGGAGCCTGCTTCTCCCTCTCCCGCTCCCCCCTGCTTGTGTTCCTTCTCTCGCTGCGTCTCTCTGTCAAATGAATAAATAAAATCTTTAAAACAGAAAGAAGATAAACCCGGGCGAGAAGTATACTCAGGTGCCAATATGCCCCACAAAGACGTCAGCCTGGGAAGCCCCCTACAGAAAAGCTCGAAGAGAAAGGCTGACGCCACAGCCCACAGCACACCATACACACCGGCTTTACGGCGTTCCTCCCCACACACTGGCCCGTCTGCGCACAACGCAGGAAGACACACACACACCCCGTCAGGCCCACTCAACGTCCGTCTCACAGCCTTTCCGAGTTAGCGCTGCAGCGATCCTCAGTAAAAATGGTGCCGATGCCCTGCACGTGCCAGCCACACAACTTCACCGCCCCTCATCTGACAGAACTCCCTTTCTGCCCCCGGATCACGGGCCGTGCGCCAGAGCCGCCGGGGCGGGCCCTTCGAGCACTCCTTCTAAAGCCCGTGACAGCAAGGCAGGGGACACCATGCCGCCGCCTGTCCAGTTACGGAAACAACTTCAGGTCTCTTCACCACCACCGGGCAGTTGGGACTCCAAATCACATCAGTCTGATTCCAGAATTGACATTTTGTGAACCTGTCACATTCTGTGAACAAAATCCACACACGTCTACGCAGCAAATAGCACAGGACGAGAGGGGTGAGTCCTGAAGGGACTGGAAGGTGGCCTTTCCCCCCAGCGCGCTAGGGCTTCTTCCCTTTACCACTAGATGGCGCCCACGGCTTGCTAAGATGACAACTTAGCCTGATTTTCATCATGTTTGGGTGTGGGGATTTAAATAAATGCCAAGTTTACAAGGGTCATATGCCCTAAATGATCTGGAACAGTCCTATTTTTAAACCCTGTGTCTGATTACACATCCACGGGCCGGTCTCCGCGTCCTTGTGCGTTCGCTAGCACCGGGAGCATACATCAGCTCGGGCACTGTGCAGGCCACCCTAAACTAAAACCCCCAGCCTGAGAGAGTCTCTCCTCGGAGGAGGGGGAGCGCCGTGAGGGCAGGGACCCTGACCCCATGGCCCCTGCCCCACACCACAGCAAACCCTCCAGAACCTTCTGCGGAGTCTAAGTGCTTCTGCGAAAACGGTCTCAGAAGGACATCAGCACTCGGGGCCTGGCCTCACTGGGCATGGGTGGGTCTGGGCGTGGAGATCCCCACTGGCCTTACCTCTGCCGGCTGCTGGAGAAGCACACGCACTGGAAATCACAGCCGAAACGGACCCAGAGGAAGAGAACTTCCTTGAAAGACCTCCAGCACAACCAGGGGGTTTCAACAGGGTTTTCTTCAGCCCCAACTGAAACAAAATGTTAAAAAAAAAAAAAACAGTCATCAGAGTTCATGATCTACCCATTACTTTTTAATGCAAAAATAGGGTTTATAAATAATTGTTAATAATTTGATAACAATCATCTTGAATGTAAAGGAAAAGGCCAAGCAGTACTGCTCAAGTGTAGTCTTCAAACCTGCATGAGAAACACGTGGGACCTTGCTGAAATGCAGATTTTTGGGCTCCAACCCCGGCCCACTGAGTCCAGAGCTGCAGGGCCCAGCTTCTGGCAATTTTAACAAGTACTTCAGTGGTTCTTACGCACAGCTCAGTTTAACCACGACGCCAGGAAAGAAATAGAGCTGTGGGCGGTTGTCCCCCTGCCTGTGAGCGCAGTGTCGAAGCACTGACTTCCCATCTCGTCTGAAGGAAGCAGGGAGCGAGGCAGACACAGATATGCTCAGAGATGCTGACGTTCCTCAGTCCGCGGCCAGGCCGCGCTGCCTCTCACTGAGCTTGCCTCACACCAGTCCCATTTTCAACCTTCCTAAACTTGATGTTAGTCGAAGACACATTATATGTGTACAGCGCTGCCTCTGTATTGGCTCTGCTCACAGGCCACGCCCGCCTGCAGCCCTGGCAGACCCACCTTGTTTGCAACAGGGAGCGATCGCTTGCCTTGGACCAAGTGGCTTCCACCAGCTGGCAAGCTAGCGAGCTCCCGGGCGGCACTGGATTTGTCAGGGGGCACATCCCTGTGGGATTCCTTTTCCCTGAGGATTTTCATATTGGAAGGACTGGTTGGTATCCTTTTCCTAGGCTGAAAATTTTAAGATGAAATGTGAGAGCTGTCTGGTCTTTAACAACATACAGAAGCACCATCTCTCTTCCCCATGCTATACACGTTCCTCCATTCATCAACGAGATTGAAGTGAATATAGCAGCTCACTTCCTGCACCAAATTACCATGGACAAAACTGATGATGGCGTTTGCTTCCTCATTAAAAACAGAGCAGAATAATACTAAGACCGATCATTAACCGGAGAGAGAGATCCTCTAAAGCTAGTCCTCAATCAGGATTCTTATTTAAGGATGATAATGAGGAAAATGGTCTAGTGACAAAAATTTTAAAATGCTGTATGGAAAGGAATCACTCATTAAAAGGTCATTCCTTCTAGCAGAGACACTGCTCAGTTGTAATAAATCTTCTTGGAAGAGTACTGGAAGCTGTTTTTCTTTGGACAACAGAGTCAAAGAATACATGTCTGACAATATTTAGATACAAGGGCATTCACAGAACTAACCCGTTTATGTAAATAACCCCTTATGACAAGGCCAGCTGTTAAGAAGCAGTAGCAGCTCATAAAGTCATAGTGTTGAAACAACAACTTTCTTTTTCCTTCACAGCATTTTAAAATTGATATGCCTCACATAACATAAAATTTGCCTTTTGAAAGTGTACGTGTCAGTGGTTTTTAGCATACTCCCGGTGTTGTACAACCAGCATCAACCCGAGAACATTCTTGTTGTCCCTAAAGGAAACCGCTAGCCACTAGCAGTCACTTCCCACCCCCCCCAACCCCCCCCCCGCCTAGACAGACACTACCCTACTCCCCTCTCTACAGTTTGCTTATCACAGTCCCCTCCTATAAATGGGAGCATACAGCATGTGACCTTTTGTGTCTGGCTGCCTTCACTAAGCATGTTTTCAAGGGTCGTCCATGTTATACTATGTCCTATTATCTACTAATACTGCATCTCCTGATTGCCTGAGTCCACCTGTGTGTCACATACAGAAATCCCTACCTGGGTCCATATATGACACAGAAGACCCGTGTCACTCATTCTAGACACGTCACTTTTAGAAATTTACATCCAAACGGTCTCCAGCAAAGGGAGCTTGTATGATTAAAGGAACGGCCCCAGCTATTTAGGGGAAGAGACAGCCGGCATATCTCCTGTTCAGGCTTCAGTGGGGCAGACAAGCTGTGAGCTCGGATCGGCTCTGGGTTCTGAGGGCAGGGAGTCATGCACTACATAAGCTGTGCTTGTAGAGGGAAAAGGAGCTCCTAGGCCCTTGCTGGGTGGTTTGCACTGACCCCACAGAGCACCATTCCTCCGTAACTGGCTCAGAGAGCAGAGGCCTGGGGCCCAGGTTAGCAGCGGAACTGAGAAACGGTACACGGCAGGCTCCGACCCGCTGGCTCTCCTCAAAGTAGGGCTTCCTCCCCTGAGCAGAGATGCAGCAGCAAAGCCTGGAAGCAGCCGCCCTCTGACAACTTCCCTACCCGAGTGCCCTACCCCGCAAGCCTCCAGGAGCCCCAGTGCACCAGAGTTGGCTAGCCGTACCCCAAAGGCCTGCCTGCCCACTGCCACTTCCCAGGACACTCATCCATTTAATTCCTAGGAGGAAAGCGATCTAAACAAATTCACAGCTAAGGAAGATGACTAGTGGCTGTTCCAAGAGGCAATTTTTGGAAGTTGCTTGTTAATGCACACAAAATCCCTATAAGTAGAAAATCCAACGTTGTAACAAAGCAAAAGGAAAAATTTCAAATGGCATTTAGGAGGGGGTGTTTTTAAGTCATCACAAGAGGAAGGTAGCCCCGCCCCCGTCCATATCCACCCCAAACCCAGCTCTCCATGCTGTTCCTGCTCTTCATGGACTCTCTGTTCCTACACTTCTGAGTCCTCAGCACAGCTACATTTCCAAGTTTCTTCCCGTCACAGTTTCCATAGGGCCATAAACCAAATGGGCTAAAACGCAAGGGGGCACCTGGCTCTCCAGCCAGATGTTCTGGGACATGCATGTGTCTACCTGCTCCGTGGCCACATGAATGTTTTTCCCTTTCACAGAAAAAGCTCGGGGCCGCACCAATTTGCTGATGACCTTTTTCTGAGTCCCTGTCTGTTTTGGAGGGTGAGCAGTACTTGGTTCCACTGGCAAAGAAGAGTGGGGTGAGTGTGGCCACCCCTGTGTCTGGGCGGGAGCGCTTGGCAGGACCAGGCCCGAGGGTGTCTGGGTTCCCTGAAGTGGCGGGTCCCTCAAGGGGCTGTCTGACAGGTAATAGGTCTCCCTCTTAAGTGACTTGGGGCTTTTTTTCATTTCCTTTTCTTTCTCAAATAGGCTTATTTTTAATTTTGATTCCTGTATAAATCTTTCCACGCCCTGGCTCCAAAGGTCTTCAGCTGTGACATCTTGGGCGGCCTTGTTTTTGCTCTTGCTTTCTATCTGAAAGGCCAATAAGTGAGCTTCTTTATACACTTCCACGAATTTTTCCCCAGGGAGAGGACTCCAGGTGAAGTGACTTTCCGAGGCTGGCAAAAGACGCTCTTCGGGAATGTGATGATTTAATTCCAAGCTGGCAGCAACGCATCTTTCTTTATGCCCAACGGGTCCAAAGAAGACTTCATCATCTTCATTTGCACTGTTTTAAATAAAAGGATTATTAATGACAATGGCATTTAAATGAAAGACTTTACTGAATGTGATTAAACCCAAGGCAAGGGAAGAAAACTCATCTGTTTACCTTGAAGAGGACAATGAAAGATCGAAGTCAAATTTTTCATCAGCTAAGAGAAGAATGTCTGGGGGGAAAAAGTCCAGCATTATTTGAGGGTTGGAGCTGACAAAGAGAAAACATCACCAGTCCCTATAGCTATAAAAACAATGACAATATTTCACTCTCCAAAGTGTACCTTATCATTATTTTAACAGTCACATTATCATAGAGGGCTCTAGATTATCAAATTTTTTTGTTTTCTTTTTAAAAAAGCATCAGCAATTCTGTGTTTGCTAAGCTGACCCAAAAGTTCAAGTCCTTACCTTTAAGATATAATCTAAAATGCATTCACCAAGTCATTCAACTAGTTTTTCAAGGCTAGATAAGATATAGACCATTTCCAAAAGACCATCTGCTTCAGGTCCCCCAGAATTAAATTCCTTACTTATAGGGGCGCCTGGGTGGCTCAGTCGTTAGGCGTCTGCCTTCGGCTCGGGTCATGATCCCCAGGTCCGGGGATCGAGCCACATGTCGAACCCTGTGTCAGGGTCCCTGCTTGGCAGGGAGCCTGCTTCTCCCTCTCCCACTCCCCCTGCTTGTGTTCCCTCTCTTGCTGTGTCTCTCTCTGTCAAATAAATAAATAAAATCTTAAAAAAAAAAAATTCCTTGCTTACAAACTACGTAACACCTACTCTTCTTTCAAAAACAAATTCAGTATTATTCAAATGCACCGTTGGGACTCCATCCGTATTTGCTGACGACCATCTCTTCTTAGAGCCCACCTTGAAACCCCAGACGAAACTGCGTTTTGTACCCCCCATCCACACTTTCACCATATAGTTCCTTCACCAGCCCGGCCTGTAAGCCTGACTCCCTCTAACAAACCTCAGGCTCCAGGTTAGTGGATCTCTTTCCTGGGCAACTGCTTCCCCCCCAGCTCTCACACCCCATCCACCCCCATTCCTCCCTAGGGCCTCCCCACATCACCTAGACCTGACCTCTGTCACTCTACTGCCTTGCTGTTCTGTAATGTCCCTTTACCCTTCTGGGCTCCAACTAGATTGTAAGCTCCTCCAAGCCAGAAAATGTCTAATGCTCTCACAAATTCCCTTACACCCAGCTAAGGGCCTGGACACTTAGCAAATAATTATCGAAATGCGCTGAGCGGGTATTTCCATACTATCAAGTTTATACAGCACTTTTGCAAATCACTTCTTATTTGATCCTACAAAACAATGCAGCATGCTTATTAAAATTATAAAAATTTAAAATATACTAATATCCTAATTAGGTCCTAATTAGTCACTTCAATTATTCTTAATTACCCAATCAAGGAAAAGGTAAAAGCACAAATGCACAAATGAAATAAAAAGAAATAACCAGAGAGAGAGGAAATTAAAAGATTCATAAGCCAGCCTGCTCAACTCCATGCCCATAAACCTAAGAACTTGGCTGAAATGCCTAATTTTCTAGAAAACACTATTTTTTGTATTTAAATTACTTAAGTGGATTTATTTATAAAACGGACTCCAGAAGAGAGGGAAAAAAATCTTAAGAGTTCAATTATCATAAAATAACTGCACAAATTTATTCAAGAGCTATTGTCCTCAAAAGAGCACAAGAGACAGATAATTCTGTCAAGTCTTTCAAGAATGTATCATTCCAAAATTATTTAGATTGCTCCACAGGATAGAAAAAAGAAACCTTTCAACTTAACTTGTATGAAGCAAGCATAACCATACCCCAAAGCTCTAGAGTTAGCTCAGTAAAGAAAGCTACAGACCAGGCTCATAACATACAAATCCTAAATAGGAATATTAGGTAACAGAATCCACCAACACATTAAAAGAAAAAGAATATATCATGACTAGGTGAAGTTTGTTTCAGGACTTCAGGACTGTAGGATGGTTTAATTTTACACAATCTAGTAACATGATTGTTATATTACTAGATCTAAAAGGAAAGCCCTACATCATGTCCATCTATGCTAATAAGACAAATGAAAAAATGCAAAATACCTTGTTGACCTTAAAAGCTCTTCATAAAAAGCAACAGATATATAATAGATACATTTGATCATACAAGGAAGTATCTCTCTCCAGCCAAAAGCCAAAATTAGATTTAATGGGATACTATCAGAAGCATTCCTTCTAAAGCCAGGAGCAAATATACTTTATCAGTCAGGACAGGCTAACTTATGCTGAAGTAACAAACAAGCCCCGAATCTCAAGTGGTGTATTTCTCACTCAAACTCTATATCTGCTGGGGCTTGGGCCCTGCTCCACATCCTCCTCACTGCAGAACACAGAATGATGGAGCCTGGCCTTTGTGCTAGAGAAAGGGGAAACAGCAAATTCCATACTAGTTCTTAAAGACCTAGAAGTGACACATATCACAGCATTCCCATTTCACTGGCCACCTTGCAAGTCACTTGAGCCGAATCCAACTTTAAGTGGGCAGACAAGTACAATTATACCATGTATACTCAAGAGGAAAAAAAAAAGTAGAAAAGAGGGAAAAAAACAGTGGAAATATTGATAAACAGCACCAAAACTACCACCTATATGTAAATTAACTCGCAAACCAGCATGAGGCTTAATGGAAATCTAAAGAGGAAATTTCATGAAAGCCGGGCACATGGCCATGATGTCTGCTCTCACGACAAGCCTGGACACTGTTCTGGGTACACTAACCAATACAATCAGACAAAGGAAAGGATCTGGAGGTAAAAGTATCACAGTGCACAGATGCTATGATTACAGACACAAGAAAATCAAATAAATACTGTTATAAGTAGTGAAAGGATAAAAGCACGTGCCTGAGGACAAAATTATCACACAGTAATCAATGGCATTCATATCTACAAAGAACAGTTTGAAGATATGATGGAAAAAAAGACCTTGTTACAATAGCAACAAAAACCACTAAATACCCGTGAATAAACCTAACAAATACGCAAGACAGATATAAAGAAAACTTAGTATAATGTAAAAGTAGCACATCAAATTAAAGGGGGAAATGGTGTATTCAAAAAGGAAAATACATATAAAAGGAAAAAGAAGGGGCGCCTGTGTGGCTCAGTGGGTTGAGCGACTGACTTTTGATTTCAGCTCAGGTCGTGATCTCAGGGTTGTGAGCTTGAGTCCCACATCGGGCTCCACGCTCAATGCATGCGGAGTCTGCTTGAGATTCTCTCGCTCCCTCCCTCTCCCCTCATTCATGCGCACGCTTTCGTGCGTGCTCTCTCTCTCTCCCTCAAAATACATAAATAAATCTTAAAAAAAGAAAAAAGGAACAAGAAGAAACCATGAAGAAATTATTTTATAACCTGGAGACAAGAGGTTTAACTGTGAGACCAAACTGGAAGCCATAAAAGACTAATAGTACAGTATGTAAAAAAACATTTTAAATCCGCATGGCAACAATCACCATGAGCAAAGTTAAAGAAACAATAAGCAGGGGAAAAAGTATTCGCAGCTCACATCTCAAAGGGCTCATTTTTTTTTTTTTTTTAAAGATTTTATTTATTTGACAGAGAGAGACACAGCGAGAGAGGGAACACAAGCAGGGGGAGTGAGAGAGGGAGAAGCAGCTCCTGGCTGAGCAGGGAGCCTGATGCGGGGCTCGATCCCAGGACCCTGGGACCATGACCTGAGCTGAAGGCAGATGCTTAACCACTGAGCCACCCAGGCACCCCTCAAAGGGCTCATTTATTAACATTGCCTACAAACTGCTAAGAAGACAACCAATGATGTAATGGAAGAACTGACAAATGACAGGAACAGATAAAATAACTGATAAAATAAAACAAAACAAAAATAACCCCGAGATTCCACTTTTCACCTATGAGGTTGTCAAAAATCACAGAGTTTGCTAAAACATGCTCGAGGCTGTGGGGAACAAGAAAATTCACATAGCGCTCAGGAAGGCATCACCAGGTGGCCTGGCAGCACCTACAAAATAAGACGTGCACGTGTCGTCCCGCCCAGCAGGAAGACTGTGTGCGGACATCCCACAGTCACAGTGATGCTCGCTTCAGCAGCATCTGAAAAAGCAAGACACTGGACACAAACGAACGTGCACCCACAGCAGATGGGAGAAATTACAGCCCCCCTCTCCCTCCACCCCCCCCCCCAAGATGGACCACTACCTAGGTACAAAAGAGAACAGCAGGGGCGCCTGGGTGGCTCAGTCGGTTAAGCGTCTGCCTTCGGCTCAGGTCATGACCCCAGGGTCCTGGGATAGAGCCCCACATCGGGCTCCCTGCTCAGCGGGGAGTCTGCTTCTCCCTCTCCCTCTGCCTGCCGCTCTTTCTGCTTGTGCTCTCTCTCTGTCAAATAAATAAATAAAATCTTAAAAAAAAAAAAGAAAGAGAACAGCAATAGTGCATGCGTTGATATACAAAGATCATCAAGATAAATTGGTGCCAAAAGCAAGATGCAGCAAAGGGTTCCATCTGCTATTAAAAAAAGGGGCAATCAGCTGACAATGTACACATACGGTTTGCTCTTGCACAGATCAGGTCTGGAAGATCAAAGAGACCAAAGACATTGGTGGCCTTTGGAGGGGCAGCTGGGTGGCTGAGGGAGAGGCTGAGGGAAGTGGAAACAGGTAGGGTCAGATCCTGGAGGGTCTGCAAGCCATGGCAAGGAGCTTCTATTTTATCCAAAGTGCTACAGAAAGCTATGGAAGGTTTTAAGCACAAGGGTTACGATCTAACTTGTGTTTTTAAAAGGTTACCCTGGCTGCTGTGTAGACTGTATCAGAAAGGAAAAAACAGTGTCTATTGAAATCACAAATGCACACATTGGCCAAAGTGAAAAATGCACAAGGAGGTGGAGGTGAGCTAATGGGGCTGAGGCAAAAGGTGGTGGCATCTGGGTGGAGCTGGAAAGAGATAGATGGATCCAAATATATTCTGAAGGTGGAAATAGCAGTAAAGGATGATTGAATGAACCTGGCTGCTTCACAACTTAGACAGCTAGGTAAATGGAGGGGCCATTTACTTCCATGAGAGAACAAAGAGCAGGCTAAGAATGGGGTGGGATGGGGAGCACATTGAGTTTGAAGTGCAAGACATTCAGGTGAAGATGCCAAAGAGGCAGGTGGATATAGGAATCCAGAGCTCTGGGGAAAGACTGTGCTCGAGACAAAATGTGGGCACCACTACAAAGCAGATTGAGTTTAAAGCCATGGGAACATCTGAGGGCCCCTGGGGTATGGGGGATACAAAGAGACCCTAGACCAAGTCCTGGGTAAGATTAGCTTCAGAAGACAACAGAGGAAGAGGAGCCTGCAAAGAGATGGAAAAACCAGCCAGAGAGGTGGAAGGATTTCTATTTGTATGTCAATGATGAGCATGAGCAAATGGACAGGCACAAAGTAAGGCTACGAAGGGGGGTTGGGGGTGTGACAGAGGGGTGAAGTCCTCAAGAGCAGCCAGTGGGAATTCTGCATGCACATGGAAGGGACTGGTATTTGAAAGTGAGGACACAGGCAGGAAGGAGAAAGGGGTGCAGCGGCAAATACCTTTCTAGATTCAAGGAAGAAGTGATGAAACCGGCAAAGTCCCTAGGACCGTTTTAGCAGAATGGACTGTCAAGGATACCCAGTCCACCGGCCTCACATGGATGTTGTGAGGAGCAAAGGATACAAGGATGTCAACACGCTTTAGGAGAAAAATAAGAAGGTATGGCCCTTCACTCATCTCCTGAGGCTGTATTCTCACCCCGACGCTCAAGCCAGACAGGGACAGAACAAGACAGGAAAGTCACAAAGCTTCTAAACAAACCTTAGAAAACAGAAACCAGCAATGAATAAAAGAGGAAACATCAAATTCGATCCCACCAGTATCTGAGTGCCTACAAAGTGCCAGGCAGTGTCCCCGGCACTGGGTATACACAGCAAGTCGGACTGGAAAGAATCCCTGCTATGATGGAAATCTGAAGCTGGGGGGAATGGGAGGCAGAAAACCGAAAACTAAAGACGCTGGATGGATGCAAGCCCCTTGAAGACAGGGACCATGAGCTTCACTGGCACAGGGTGAGCGGAATAAATACAGGACTAAGTTCTCACAGAAGCATTAACTCGACCTACATCTTCACCGAGCTCCCTGAACCACGGCGCTGCAGCGACAAGGACGTACCATTCTCCTTGGGAACATCCATCTCTGCTTCTCCTGGCTGGCTGGCCGGCTGACTGAAGGCGCGTCCTCCTTCCACGGCGAGGGCTGCCAGGGAGTCTGCGGAGAGGACGGGGTCAGCAGGTAAGCAGGTGTCGGGGCCCAGGCCCCCCGGCTCCGTCACTCCCCGGTGCCGACGGGGGCAGAGGGAGCGGGCGGCCGCGGCCAGGTCAGGGAGGGGAATGGCGGCCGGAGGCCACGGGAGGTGCAGCCGAGACCCCCCGCGCCGCACCGCCCGAGAACGCGCGCCCACAGGCCGGGAGCTCCGGGGGCCTGATCAGGACTATCCTCCGCGGTCGAGCACAACGGAATTCCCCGCGCTCGGGACAGCCCCCACCTTACGCGCGAGTGGACCCCGGCCGAGCCACCGCGGCCCTCACCCGAGCAACGGCGACACCCGGCGGCCCCACCCCGGCCTGGGATTTAAACGCGGCGCGGCGGGCGCGGCGCGGCCGCCGATTGGCCGGTTTGAAGGCGCTCCGCAACGTCGCCGCGCCCGGTGCATCCTGGGGGCTGGGGGCGGAGCCGCCTGGAGGAGGAGCGCGGCGCCCGTGCGCACGGCCTCCGCGCGCAGGTGGGCTGAGCAAGCCCGGGCTCCGCCCCGCGCCCGCGGTGGGTCAGCAGAGGCCCTCGGGGGCTTACTTGCGGCGCCGTGCTGTGTTCTGGCATCTCGGCCTCAGGGTAGCTGCGCGTGCCAAGGGACGAAGTTCCGACCCCAGCTTTTTATCTGTAAATACAGAGGCTTCAATTCTTAGCGTAGATGTTGATGGGAAGACCAAACGAAATAAGTGCACCTGTCTGCTTTGTAAAGCAGTACGCACCCGTTGCCAATACAGTAAGAAGACCCGGACCCTGCCCGGACCAGCGCACAGGGTGACGCCGGTTTGTGCCCTTGCAGCAGAAGCTGAGTGGTGGCGGGGGACAGTGATGAGGGCCTGAGCATGGCCAGAGGTGTGGCAGAAGCTTGCCCTGGGCTTTAGAGCCGCTGGGGACCTGGATTTGTTCTGAGGGCAAGATGGGGGGGCCGGGGGGCGGGTTGAAGGGGTGCGCAGGTCCGGTGGCGAGGTGACGGAGTCCGCATGGGAGAATGCACACGTTGGAACAAGATTCCGGATCTGAGCGACACGGAGGACTGACTGGTGAATAGGTCAATCAGCGGCAGCTTGAGATCGACCTCACTTGAACCTTGGACTGTGAACCAGGTATAAATAATACCCACCTCGTGGCCTGGAGTGTGAAATGAGGGGCTCCGTTCAGGACACAGTGTCATGAAGCCGTTGCTCTAGGTATCTGGGACTGGTGGTTGTAAGAGGATGTGGGAAGGAGGAGGCTGGGATGCCCCATACAGTCTGCTCTGGGAAGGTCTGAACTCCAGAGGGAGAGCACCATTTTCAGGGACAATAATGAGCTATTTATTTGGGGCAGGTTGGGTGGAGAGCTGTCCAGGGGGCAGCCATCACGGGCCCAGGATCTATGCCAAGAAGTATGCCAAGAAGCCTTCTATGCTGGCTGGCATCTGGACTCCCGTGTCTCTGGTTTCACGCCATCCACACCAATCACCCCATGCTGTTGTGGTCCCTCTCCACTTCTGCTCCTGAGTCCAGCTCCCCATGAGACTGTGAGCCTCTAAAAGGCAGGGTGGGGTCTCCATTATGTGATGTCCCCCAGCCTTACACAGCCCAGGGATGGGCCCCAGGCAAGAGCTGAGAGAGTGGGAGCTGGATATTGAAGGGGCAGGAGGTGGGGGAGAGGGTCTGGGGGGAATCTAGCAGCTTGGAAAGAGCCCAGCCTACCCTCTGCATCCCCTTTGTCTTGTCCTGGCATCCCCAATGCCTCTTTTCTATCAAAGGGCTCCCTCTGTAGCCTTTGGCTTTCCACTGCACTCGGATATGCTGGGTCCATTGGACCCTGCCTTTCCCACCTGAGTCTCCGTCCATGGGGTCTCTTCTGAATTCCATTGTCTTTGGGGCTTTTTTTAAGATTTATTTATTTGAGAGAGGGAGAGAGTGAGCAAAAGCAGGAGGGAGAGAATCTCAAGCAGACTCTATGCTGAGCACAGCCTGATGTGGGGCTCCATCTCACAGCCCTAAGATCATGACCCGAGCTGAAAACAAGAGTCGAACCCCTAACCAACTGTGCCACCCAGGTGCCCCATGAGTTGTCTTTTGCTCAGGTTCCTGCTTAACTAGAGAAGAAAGGTGGTGCCAGGCAGACCCAGTGGCAGGTATCCGTCAAGAGCCTTTGGGCTGTAAGAAACAGAAAACCAGCTTCAGGCTGGCTTTAGAAAGAGGAGAACTGACTGGCTCCAGGAACAAGGAGGTCCTGAAAAGAGGGGCTCAAAGGAGGGCACTGGGTTAGGTCATCTCCCAGCGGCCTCTCTCGGGTCCTGCTCACCCTCGATCAGGCTGGCTTTACTGGCCCCCCCAGCCCGGGAGCTCCAGGCTTCCCTCCACTTAGCAGGGCCTCCTGAAGACAGCAGCCAAGGTTTGGTGGTACCCATGCCCCATCGATGGTCCGAAGGCCTGTGCTTGCCTGACTTAATCACAGGGCAACTGCAACAGGAGCTGGGGGGGAGGGGGGCAGGTATCGGCCCGGGTCCGCACAGCCCTATGGATGTTGCTGGGGGCGAGGGTCCCCGACACCCACTCCCAATGCTCCTCTCCCTCTATCCTGTCAGCACGTAGGCGGTGCTCAGTATCTGCATTGATTATGAATAACTTGTTGCTGTTAAGTGAACAGTACCCTCATCCGGCTGTCCTATCATGGGCCTGCTCATCGTAGATTCGTTTTTTCCTCCCCCCAATTTATGCCACCCTTCATGAGTTCATTCAGTAACGTCCTCTGACAGGTCCTCAGTGCAGGCCGTGTGCTGGGTGATGCTGGGACCAGATGCCATCCCTGACCTGAGGTGACAGCAGGAGAGAAAGGGGCAATAGCAAACACAGGTGCCAAGGGCTGGGGGGCAGA